CTTCGTCGCTGAACACAATTTTTCGATAAAAATGTGGATCTTCCTCCAACTTTGCCAGCGCCCATTCACCAAACTGGAAACGTTGTGGGAGGTCGTGTGGCTTCAATTATTGCACCAGCTGTATCTTATAAGGTTTTACACCCAAATCCTGTCGCAAAATTTTCCACGTAGTGGAGTAACAGAGGCCCAATTGCTGCGAACGGCGGCGAATCGACATTTGACGGTCATCACTAATACTGGCGGATACAGCCGCAATATTTTCTTCAGTCCTCACTCTACGTCTGCGTGTTGGTGGTTTAATGTCCAATAATGTAAACTGGGTTCGAAATTTAGTCACAAGCTTCCGAATAGCTCCCTCAGTAGGCCGACCAAATTGCCCATAAATTGGAAGCAGTGCTCAATACACTCTCTTAACCGAGCATGAATTTTGATAGTAAAATTCAATAATTTGCAAGCGTTGTTCGTTCGTAAGTCGATTCATGGTTAAATTATAGACCAAACTGAACAAGTTTGACAATGACACAAGACACGATTCACGCGTCATCTGTCAAAAACAGTGTTGCCAAAAAGATACTAGCAAAAAAATCACCCATTAGTATGTTATGGCGATAAAACTGTCTGGAAACTCGATTTTTTGCTAGAAACTCAGAGTCAAAGCTATAAACGACTTTTGTCAACTCGCATCAATTATATTACAACGTGATTTCCAGTTACAGGACAATATGTCATTGAATAATGCGACTCAGTAGCTCAATCAGGGCCTCAGGCGCGACGTTTTTGTTGTATCTGATTAAAAATATTTTCTAGTACATCTTTCATCAAACTTATATTGATTATTATTTTCTTTTTATTTTCAGGTAAGTCTTTTGTAGAAAATTTGGCACACATTACAAGTAAGTAACGCGTAACTCACATTTTTAATGAATGCATTATTTTAATGAACAAAGCTAAATTTTCAACCTATATCAACTTTAGCTTGTGGAATGCAATGAAACGATAACATCCGAATATTGTCGAATGTCACTATCTGTATTTAACCTGGCTAGTTCCTCTATATTCATTTCCCATCAAATGTTCATTCAAATTATTGAAATCTAAGTAATTCAGGTAAAAGATATAGCCTTGTATGAAGTCAATATTCCTATCACCTTTGAAGATGAGTTTTAGGCATATATAAAATGGAATAATAATATATTATTATACTTGATATGTTTGCTGGTAGAATTAAGCACAGTGCTCGAATTACTTTTATTTATTTTGGATAGAAAAAGTAATAACAGCTTTGCCGCGCTAGAGCGACAAAGAAGCAAAACTTGGTTGAGGTCGGTCCGAAATGGAAGGCCTCTGCGTTGCCAGAATACCACAATCCGTCGTGGTGTGATAATAATAGTGAGTATTAACGTTACGACTACTTGCGTTGCTCTTGAAACATTGAATTAGGTTTACTTCCCAATTTGTAAAGTAGCGCTTTGAGCTCTGAATACAAAATTAATTATTACACCGACACTTGTTAGGTACTTTCTTATTTGAGAAAGGCATACGATTTCCTAAGGTTAATTTTGGACCATCATGTAAGCATATATTATATTAAAGTAAATTTGATTCAAATTTAGTTATCCTGGCGTGTGAAGTACTAAGAGTAGCGTTAAATGTTTCTTACATATTTTTTAATGAAAGATATATCATCATGATTGTAGTCCATCAAGGAAACATTACACTGAAATATGACGTTAGATAACTTTAATGACCGATTCATTTAATTCTAAAAGCTCCCGTAGAGTGCTCTATAATATACCAAATTAATAGTAAGTGTTTTTCCTCATATTTTTTATCGATATATTCGAAGAATTCATGGTATGGTACAACACATCCAAATTAAATGCTAATGTGGTTAGATCCTGCGGAATATATAACGAGAAATTTCAAGCAATACCGCGCCAAAAATTACTAGATTCTGAGAATTAGTTATTCTCATTACAAAAACATACATATACTTCAGAAGAATGGAAACGTTGTTCCTATCTAAAACAATTGACCTTTTAAACATTTGATTATTATTAGATGTTGTTTTCAGAAGTCCTTATCGTGATAATGAATAGGTACATAGGAACAGTATTTTACAAAACTTATCTCAGGTTTTTGAATTTATTGCGATAACGCTTAACACGAAAATCACTAGAAAAGAGATCCCGATTCAAAAAAATTGTCAATATTTGATACGTGAGCTCAACTTTTAGGCAGATGTTCGAACTTTACCATCTAACATATATACTTTTTCCAAAACAGTGTTGAATTGGAAATACCTACCCAAAAGCACCTTAACCTAAGAGGGCGTAAGATTTCGAAGGCAATTTGGTATGATATTGAAAATACAAATATATACAGATTGTTATCGAAATACAGGATCGGTAGGGAATTATCGAGGTACCGTGCCTAATGTGTACGAGAGAGATAGAGAAACAACACATATGGGCCCACCTACTCGCTCTCCTTCTCTCTCATACACATTAAATACAAGACCTCAATGATTTTTTGCCGACCCTGTATACAATTTTCAGGAAATACCGCAATACATTAAGCAGAGATAGAATTTATAGGTACATGATAACAATGTTTTTAAGGCAATTTGGTTGTCCTTTGTCAGAACACATTTATTTTTCAATGAGATGAGATACATTTTTTATGAGTAAGTGCTTTAGCAAACTTTTTCAGTTTCCATTCTTATCCATCGAATTCGAGATATCGGGTAAAATATTTTTCAATTTAAACTGTTTTTAGAAAGTCAGTTGTTTCAGATGCGGAAAGAACTGCACTAGTTGAATAGCTTTGACAATTCGCAAAATTTATGCTGAACTTCTTCCACGTATTTGTTGCAACATACACATTTAAATAGACAGTGAAGTCAAATAATTTCTCTGGTCAAATGATTCATGCATACGAGTTGTGTCGTGTGACTCTATTACTCGGAAATCTTCAACAATGAAATCAGAAAGAGATATATGTCGAAGATTTTCAACTGGCACTGTCTTGCGACTAGCAAGACTGGATACAGGAAGGTAAACACATAGAGTGAAGTGAAGCCAAAAGTGTTCGCGTGTATCATCTTTCTCATGTCTGTATCCTTCTCATTCTCCACGTGTATGTGTATACATGCGCAGAACTCTAGGCGCACTGTATGTCCAAGAGCCACGCCCTCCTTAGCAACAATATTACATACAAATACGTGTCTTGTCTTAGGTAGTTTACCCTCCTGTTTCGTGGGCTCAAAATTGGCGCAAGGGTGGATTTTCTAACCTAAAATGTCGACTTGCCAGTTTAACATGTTTATGATTTGGCCTTGCTGATCACTGCCTGTCAAGTACTTGGTAAATAAAAAACTGAGGATATGAAAATCAAATCGGTGAAACAAATATTCAATTTGTGATAACCTCAATTTGTCAAGAAAACCGACGAAATGTCACTTTTTTGACATTGTATTGTCTTTTTGTGACATTATGTATGTTTTTCAACAAGATAGTTAACTTATGAACTCGTTTTGTAGTTGTATGCCATGGTGCTTCAGTTACCAATGTTTGGCTCTGATATGATGTAGAATCTGCTTCAGAGTGTTTGGCTCTGATATGATGTAGAATCTGCTTCAGAGTAAGTTGTATACTATACCTAGAAGGAAACGGTAATGCATAGGTGCATAGTGAAGATTTGTGTGCTAATAATATGTGTTGGATTCTTGTCTCAAATACACTTACTTGAGATTCAAAGCTAGAAATTAGTTGCGCTTCCAGTTTTTCTTATCCATTCTGGAAATTACATATGCAAATGTACTGAATTTCAAAAATGAGAGATATGAGAAATGATTATATTTTCTGTACACTGTCGAATTCAAGTTATATACATGCTAACATAATTTACACACAACACGGGCGCGGTGGTGATTTCCCGTAATTCCCCTCAAAGTTTTTGAGAACACAGAAAAACTTAAAAAATTGTGATTTATAACTTTGAACATCACGTGTCTTCAGAAAGGATAATAATTAAATAATCCGTCGGCATCCGCTAATAGATATACTTCATTGGCCGCATATTCAGTAATGCTTTTCTCATACAGCAAATTTCACTGATTTTATACCCATGCAGACTAATACACAAAATTCATCCAAATGCGATCTTGCTATTCCAGCAACTTTCCTCTCAGAGATGAAAACTACAGACTACTCGGCTTCACAAAGGATATGCGTGTAGCTGAGCCATTCCTTCATAGATGGACGTTAACAACGATCCTAGTGAGCAACCGCGGAATGACTGTTTACACCCTAAAGACTGCCTAGTCTGCAAGATGACATTTTATAGATTTTTCCGTTTTATAGGTTTTTTTCGTAATACCCGTGCCGTGCAAGCATTAATAATCAACAAGTAGTCAAATCTGACAACCAAGCGAAAACTTTTTTTTATACTTCAACTACTCCGAAGGCCTATGACCTATATCTATGGGATACCGTGGGGATATAGCTGGATACAGGGGAAAGGGGAAACGCCGCACGGTCTATGGCGAGGGAACAAATGTGCATGCAACATGCACACATTTTGGCTCCGTCTACGACATCCGCCGGGTGGTACCTCCGCGTTCGACAGTCAGAGATCATCTACCACCTTGGGACAATCAAACATTCATAGACAAGAGAAAAATTCGATCCCGCGCAGCGCACGGCGTCTACCACTGCGGCCACCGCAGCTGCATGCTGCTGCCAAACTGACAGAGTTATCCCCGCTAGATCACTTTACGTTGGCTGAACATGATCCTTGATTTTATAGTATTCGATAGTATTTTCTAACACCATGCCAAATTTCATATAATAATTTTTCCTGAACTAAAATTCTCTGGAGATTGGACGAAGGCTTAAAATGCACATTCATGTCACGAATCAACCCACATATTCAGAATAAACGAACAAATAGTATTCCTTTAATGTACGGTTATGCATCGATAAAGGTATTAAAGATTTATGGAGGATGCTACTGATTATTCTCACTATCCAGGATGTGGTAAAACAGCAGCAGAATCTTCAGAACAGGAAGCCACGTGCTTAGTAAATTTAACATATTTCGCTAATCACCATAAGTATTATAATTTCTAATTAATCGAAATGCTTCTTGATCCGCTTGCATACGTGGTAATTGGTTTGATCGGCTGATAGCAACTGTAGCGTGATAGAATTGATAGACGAACCTTTTTGTATCAAAAGGAAGTACCAGGAATAGTCCAGATGAATGTTGATTTTTTGTTTTAATCGCAAATAGCCGAGACTAACGATCGTTCTTGCTCTTAAGATGAATACTAGCCAACAAACTGTGTCAAGAATATGTCACTTATTGTGTAAGATCCCAGCTTACTGCTAGACATGTTTTCTCAAAGAAAAAGAAACGTGGGACATTGAATAGAGTTTGTACGAGGTCTGGAAATTAAGTGGTGATACTGATTTTTTAAAATTTCTTAACAATTTTATATTTTCACCCTCACAATAACTTCCCTTTGAAACCACACAGCATTGGATACGGTTCTTTCACTCCTCATAGCAGTGTTGGAACTCCGATGCTTCAATTGCCTTCAGCTGGTTGGTTACAGTCGATTGAATACTTTCGACTTCGGCAAACGAAAAAGGTCACAAAAGCTTAAGTCAAGCGAATGAAGAGGCTGAGGAGCCACATTAACGTTTTTACTGGCCAAGAACTCGTTATTGACATTGCTGTGTGACAAGGAGCATTATCGTGCCGATCATTCTGTCAAAAGAGGATCTGAACGAACAAAATTCCAGATTATGTCAATATTTTCATCGGTTCTTGAAGATGAACACCTTCCTCTTCGTGGTTCATCTTGCCTTAAACCACCGAGAAACCTGGACTCTTTACAAAACACTATAAGCCCGCTGAAGTTTAATAGGAGTTTCTGTTGTACTGTGCACAAGTCTGAAGCAAAACCTAGGAGCACACCGTTGCTCGAAATTGATATCACTCATTTTTAGGACACAATAGAAATAACTGTTTTTCAAAAAAGAAGTCGCTACGGGCAGCCAAATGACTCAGGCGTGTTCAAACTCATACTGATAGTCTGTCTACCCTCCCAGCCCTATGCTTATAGTGTTGCCAGATCGAACGCTACGTTGCCAGTCTCATCACTTAATTTCCAGACTTCATATGTAGTTTTTAACGCCTGCGTATCCGCTAAGCAGGGTAATAGTCCGATTTGCTGGTACCAGGTGAGAAAGGTTAAGTAAAAATGAATACTTCAATAACTTCACTTAAATTATGATGGTCGATTTTTATGTGTTCTAGTACAAAACCACAACTTCTGCCAGACGCTTTAAACAAGGTGTCCTGCTATAATTTGATTTCTACCTAACTTGTTTGTAAGTTTCATGTAAAAACCGGGTCTAGGGTTTTTCGTGCTAGGTTTTCTTGTATAAAGGATGTCTCAAACATGTTCTATCGAACAGTTATATGTTCGATGTCGATGTCACCATATATACAAAAACACATCGCTTCCAAAATTTCATATAGACTCTATACCTTTGGTATACAGCATATTTTTTTTCGAAGCGCCAATACAGAAGAGTTTAAAGCGTCTGGCAGATGTTACAATCCGCGGAAAGTGTAAAACCGGCCCCTTAAATGTTGGAGCAACCTTAATGCTTTACTTTTGTACCACATATTGAATCAAAGGTGCAAAGCTTCCATCCTATGGCCTCCCAGAGAAGCTTTGCAGATTGGTGGCTGCCTTCCTCTCTGGCCGCAAGATATCCGTCGTAACTGACGGGTTCTCCTTTTCAGTCTATAGGTCGTCATACAAATAAACGAAAGATGTCGTGTTCGATCCCACCGATCCACAGTTTTGGTGATGACAGCACTCTACATGGGGGAATTCAGAATGCCAAGCTGATCTTTGCAGGTGAGCTGGAGAAAAGACGACTGACAGAGACTTCTTCTCTGACGAGAGACCTGGAGGACGCAACGGTGTTGTACAGTTAAATTCGTCAATAACACAATACTGCACCTTGATTAACAAGAAGTGCCTGTCTGACTTTGGCTTCCCATCTTAACCATGTCGAACTTTGTATATCCAGAAGTGGTCGGTACGACCGCTCCTTTGTGCCTAGGGTGTCAATATTGTGGAACAATATGGCTGTAGAGGCTTTTCCCAGTTCTACTAACCGTAGACATTTCAAAAGACAGATTAATAAATTGTATCTAACAACTCTTCATAGAACATATAACCGCAAATGGCAAAGTTAAGTTTTGAAATATGCTGGTCACACCAGTTACGAGTATTCTGCCTCCCACTAGAACAGCTACACCAATTTAAAGGAATTCATCTTCCTGGATCTTATAATGATATCATTTTCTATAAAATGTCGAGTTGCCATAGTGACATTTCCTCCCATATACTACGAAATAATGCAAACTCAGCCAACCGTACAACTCTGGTCATCTGACTAATGTGAGAACTCTTAACGTTACTTAAGTGGTACTCCTTCAACCACCATGGTCTCTAAAAAACTTGAAACTGGATCATCGGTATAGAATGCTGAAGAGTAAATGTACATATTTGTCCCCGCAAAAATATTGCAAGCAAGCAGTACCGGAAGGGGTTAGTGATTTCCGTTGGTGCAAGTTGATTAATGCCGATTTTCTCAAAAATCCAGACATTCCATGTATACTTTGCCTTTAATCATGGAAACTGTTTTATGAAAAGCACTGTTAACAAGAAAGCAGTACTAACAGAAGAATTATGGAGTTATCCTTGTCGATTTACAGTTTATGGTGGATACTTACCGTGCCATAAATAATATTTGACGTCTATATTAATTATTCTAGCAATCAAAACCGATAAGAGTAATTAAGCTCAGATTTAGGTAACAATTTGGTATGCAAATGGACGTTCCTCTGGATATGTCGGATGTCATCTTAATAAACACCTGCAACACTAATAGTTCGCCTAATGTATGTCTTTAAGTGGTGCTATTTTCCTCACCACGAGGTATGCCGAGCTGCTGTAGCTTTTAGTACTACCTACACATTATTGAGAGACAAGAAATATAAGTAGAGGAGAGTGCCATAAGTTGATTTCCATTTTGTTATTGACTTAAAAAATATGATAAGTAGTTAAAAGTGTGTGCGCCTAATTAATAGGCCCATGGCTTGAGTGGTAACTTGTCGCCATCTTTTCTTTTTTACTACCTTCTTCTTCCAATTATTGACTCTATGATATCGGTTTCCACTTCTTTTTCCATCTGGTTTTCGGTCTTCCTCGTATCTTTTTTCCACCAATATTGCTCAGTAGTACGCTTTTTTGAATTCTGGTCTCCATCTTCCTAGACATATCCCAACCTTCTTAACCTATGAGCTTTCACTGTTCCTACTATATCTCCGCACCCATTAACCGCACTCCAGCTTCCCACCGAATATCTTGTGTAAGACTTTTCTCTCCAAAATAGCTATTTAGTTTTGTTCTGCTTTCTTTAATGTCCATACTTCACTGCCATAGATGACACATAGATCTTATAATAGTTTTATATAACCTTAGTTTAGCCTTTCTGGGTACTATTTTACTCTTTAGTAGTCATTCAGTGAGTAAACTCACCGGTTACCCATCACCAGGATATTTTGAATTCTTCATTTGTTCATTCCATGTACTTATTTCTCTTTCTTTTTTCATACTTAACACATTAACAGTGCTTTGTCTTCCAGCCTCTTCAGCGCATAATTCCTCCTTACCTCTGGTTATGATCACTAAATCGTCAGCGAATGCTAATCATTGGTACTTCTTATGATACAGTAATCATTCTCTAGTTATTTTCGCGTCTCTTATAATCTTGTCAAGACATGGGCTGAACACGATTGATGCAAATGGGTCTCCTTATCTGACTCCTTCTCTACCTACAAAATAATCCGATAATTCGTTGTTGACTTTGACTTTATTTTCTGTATTTTTCATTAATATTTTATGAGAATAACTAGTTTTCCTCGATTCTCAGTCATTTTCTTACAATTTACCCTATAGTATACTTGTTTGAAGTGTACGAATAATGCCAGTGTCGGCTTCACGTGCTAGTAGATTTCTGCCTGTATTTCTCTATTTCTCTGCATCTGAATCCGGACTAATATTCCCCTACGATGCTCGCTATACTTTCTTTCAGTAGATTCCTAATGTGCGCTGTTAATACTTAGGGACAATATTCATTAGTGCTATTCCTCTGCAATTGTGACAATTGCTCTTATCTCCTTTCCTCTTTCCATTTCTTTTTTACTTTTATTAATTATAGTTGAACATTATTATGAAAAAAGTAATTTCCAGAAGTCTTTCATGCCCCTGATTTTACAATAGGTGCCAAAGCCGATTCCGCAATTAATTTTTTCAATCGTCAATCAAGGGTTCAACCTTAAGCAAGGATATATATTATATTTAAAACAGATACATAGTTTCAGTTCTTTAGCTGAAAACATGTAGACGTACACTTCCTGTATTCTTCCGTTCCCTCTCATCTTCTCATTGCTATTATCATTCCAGAACTTGTCAAGAGATATCAAAGAAATAGTAGATAAATAGCATCAGCGGGGCCTCCAGCCTCCGGCACAGCTGTTATGTAAAAAACCTTAGAACATAAAAAATACGACGAAATGTCATCTTGCAGACTTTGTAGTTTTTAATGTGCAAATAGTTCATTCTACTTTTACTTGCTACGATCGCTAAACCCTGACGTTCAAACAACAGGTACAGCTACAAAACGAATTCACAACAGCTTGTTCTAAGTTAACATCTGGTAGAAAAACCTACGAAATGTCAAAAAAGACCTACGAAAAGTCACTTTTTAAGATACGTAATACCCGTGCGGGCTATGCAACTTAAACCAGAAACTTGTTTATCCAATAAAATGGCAGTCAAACATTTAAATGAACTAATTTTTTAATAAAGACGAGACGTGATTTGATAAAATGCTTAGGTATAAAGGCTTAGATGCAAATAATTATCTAAAAAGAATAATGAAAATTGTAACGCTGCGGAAAAACTTTACCCTTTCAAAGCACATGTAGT